TTTCGTATTCCAGGGCATTTCAGAACCTGCAAACCTCCTGAAGATGGCATAATATCATTCGGATTATTATTTCTATATGAGGATATTAAAGAAAATAACAGTGTTTTGTAACAAACCATTCACAAAAATCTACAATTATTGTCCAAGGAAATATTGTGGTATAAGATAAATGGAATTTCACACCTTTTCGGTACCATGCACATTATCCTCCTAATTTCTTTTTCTAAGGGTATGTTGTTATATAATTTATAAATTAATGGAGTTTTACGTCTTACTTATCGGTATTCAAAACAACATACTTTTTTATATCTTTATCAACAGCGGTTCGGTACAAGACACTAAAATCTACCATCACAAAGCAGGTGATGAACAGAATCAAACAAAACTCATAAAATTTAATCTTTAATGTTCCTCTCAACAGGTGGCGCATCATCTCTTCTACCCAGCATGCACGTGTAAAGTATCTAACCAATAAGAATGGGCGTAACAAGTGTGTTCTCACGATATTAAAACATCTTGGCAGTAATAAACCATCTCGAGTGCTTTAATTATAGCCAGTTTTAAAATGGACACTCAAAAATCTAGTCTTAAGATAAGACTAAATAAAATTGAAGTTTTACACCCTAAGTGCTTATGCGCTGTTTCACAGTATTCAAATGAAACGAAATGGAGTTTCACGTCCTACTTTTCTGTCTCTATGGCCTAATGAGGACGGGCAACGCCATGCAGCGTGACACGGGACGAGTTTTTACAGGACAGTTTTACGATTAAGAACCCAGCGTTCTACCTTCAGCACCTGTTTGGCTGATGAGGACGGACAACACCAAGCATTGTGACATGATGGTAATTTTTCAAGGACAGTTTTACGATTAGGAACTCGACCTTATCGGTCTGATATACCAACCTTCTAATTGCTACCATTTCACAAATACTACACGTCCTTTTCACAAAACATGCGCTTGAAATCTGAACGAACCTAGAAGCCATGTCGTGTCTATTTTTAATTACCACAATTTGAAAGTTGGGTGATAAATCGGCAGGCACTTCAGTCTGTCCACTGCCAATCAAAACATGGCGTGGTGCTAGAACACAGGTCCTTGTTACCAGCAATTAGTCTGTGCCAGTGTCCGCCAAGCTGGCAGTTTGATGGCAGTAGGTGTGTGGGAAAATTAGATATTCCTCAAGGAGAGTACTACAAGACTGATATATTTCAAAGTCTATATGAAATAATTGAAGTTTTACACCTTATGGCTTCTTATAGATATAAAAAACTGATACATACAATGTTCCTTGTTTTTAATACGGGCAGTTCAGGGCAATATATGTTTTTCAATGAGATAACTTTGTTTCGCTCAAAATTTCGTTAGACTTCGAATCAGGGGGACCTTTAAGAGAATAGAGGTAGATTAGAAAAATGAAAATACCAGCGACGGTCAAGGAATAATCTTGGGGTGGGACTTAAACTGAATTAGCTAACTTAAACATTACACAAGAGTGAAAATGAATAGCTCCACGTCTCACTACAAAATGACAAATTCAATTCGTCTTGAAAGCCGAAAACCAAAGTGTTAATTTGACGGAATCGTACGAAGGCGGCTGTTAGCCATCATTCACGACCACTGGGAATTTTGTCTAAATATTTTCTCACCAAATTACAAACACAGAGTTTCTTGTGTTGCCGCACTTGCTTTACAAACTCGAGTGATCTTAGAAAGAATCAAGTCTTTGATATCTATCTGATACTTAACATCAACTTGCTTGGCTGGCCATTAATCATGCTAACTATTTATATATATACATAAGGTTGGTGGAGTTGGTCGTCCTGACTTGGCAGAATTACAACAATCATGTGTATTTGGTCATTGATAGCATCGATTTGGACAATTCCAATTTTCAGTCAGACGTCTGTTGGTTTTGCAATGTCACTAAAACTAAGTTGCTTCTGGTTGAACAGTTTGTTATATGGAGGCATATTGGAAATCAGTTCTATTATTGATGATTAAATATGCGATTACCTTAACCCCATACACACTGTAAAACGTAGGGCATCCATTTAGGGCAAGGACATCTCAACAATTATCCCGAAAAGAAGCAAATTCATTTTCAAATTTATATAATGCATAGAAAATAAGTTCTATTATTGATGATTAAATATACCATTAACTTAACCCCATACACACCCATACACACCGTCAATGGTGGGACATTCATTTAGGACTGGGACGAATCAACAATTATCCCCAAAAGAAACACCTTCATATATAATGTACCGTTATAACAAAGTTATGGTATCATTTAACAAAAGGTTATATTTACTGAAAGAATGTCACATACATGTACATATTTTCTCAAGACATCACATGTTAACCATTTCTATTACATCTTAATCGTGTAATTTGTTTACATTTTTCTGTTAAAGAACAGCTATTTATTTACCCGATAAGACGACGGCGAGTGGTATCAGGTGTCAAGGTTTTGTTTTTATTGAAAATAAATATCGTATGATATATTTATGTTAGATCTCTTAACAGTTTAAATATTTATTAAATGATATTTATCTGTTATTTTATGTAAATATTCACATTTCTTTTTCAAATTTGATGCATAATTGATGGTGTGTATACGATATCTACTTTATACTTTATCGATGTGCATAAAAATAAGAATCAGCTAGTTATCTCGTCTTTTATACGCATAAAAGTAAGAATCAAAGAGTCCAAAAGGCCCCTCTACAAATAACTTTTAAACTATTACGAGGTCCTCGGGACTGGGCAATATGCTTTTAAAAATGCAGACAATTCATAGCCAAGCGATGGATTATCTCATATAACCTGTACCGTATGACAAAGAATTTTACTTACAAAACGGATTTAACTAAACGTAACACAATTATTTGGTCGTTCAATATGGTACAGCTCATAACAAATGTGCCGCGAACAGTCGGCGTAAGCAAAATAATGCAATGCAAATCCATATATATCATTGATTACTTTTAATTAAAAAGATTTTGTTACCTTATGTGTTTTTATCTCTTAATCTGTCGATGAAGAGGGAAATTTATCACACTTTTACGTAAATTGCCGAAATGCACGTGCATCGGTTCTGAAATTAGACCAAGCGTGAATTGAATTCATCGACTTTGTTTTACTTAGTCCGAAACATTCATTTTCTATCATTCCAAAACGTTACTACATGTATAGTTTCTTAAAGTGTAAATAAAATAAAAAGCTGCACGTCCTACTATTCTAAATGGGTCTGTCTTTAAAAGTGTACCGTAGCCAACATTGGAACTAAACTGAAACAAAATTGTGACCTGGGTGAAAACTTAGATAATAATTATAACAAAAAACAACAGAAATGTTTCCATATATATTTAATTAAATTAATTTAAATTGTACACAAATAATCATGCAACATAAACAATATATATACAACAATTCTTAATACTGTACACGGTGCTCAGGGTTCGAATCTACTGGTAATAATATATGGAGGGAGTCGTAGTTTGTCTCGAAAGAGAACAAACAATATTTGGCACTTTATTGTCATGAACACTAATATTGAAAAGGCACAAAAGGCATGAAAGGCACTTTATTTCCGTAAAACATAATTACTGATATGGGGCATTATTTGGCACTTAAATGATATCAGCATAAGTGCATTTGATTGGTTTAAATTTGAACAAAATCAACCAATCAAATATGTATATCTTTCATGCTATATGTTGCACATTGGCAAGATATGGTAGCTTTTAGCATTATAGCAGAATCTCTGAATATGATTGGACAAAACTTCGACCAATCATAACGCAAAACTCATTTTTAAAATGTACTGCATATGGCAAGGCACATCATGTCATAAGAAATTAGATCAATTTGATTGGTGTTTATTTTTAGATTCAAATCGAACCAATCAAATAGCATTATTTAGAAAATTAAATTCTATATGTACAATCATATTAAATATCAAACACAACAAATTGATCGAGACTATATATTCTTATACATAGTCTCGAATATATGGCACTATATATACAACCTGAGTGTAATGAAATACTGAAAAAAATTACCCTAAAAAACCTACGTTTCATCGACATCATAGAGACTTTCGTTGATTTGTTTTGCATGGGAGGCTTTGAAAAGGCACAACAGAAAACAGAAACTAGGTCATCCAGTTTCATCTGAATGCACGCACAAAACAACATGAGATCTCGTACAATATCGTGAGATCTGATACGTCACTCAAGGAGACAGTTTATTCAAAATGGCAGCACTATGTCGATTACGTCACAACTCCAATTAATCGTATCTAAATATGGATAAGAAAGGAATCTCTCGTAGAACATTTTCAGGCAGTTCCACGAAGTCACAACAATACCAAGAAATCTACCAGAATCCAATTCTAATTAGCTGCAACGGGAACTTGATTTCCAGAGCCAGGTTCCATTAAATGCATGTTCATGTGACTTCCTGAATAAGAGTGCGCATGATCGTTGTCCATGTTGACCGGAACTGCTTTTGGTGGTGAAGGTGTTGCGAACAGATGACTATTTGGAGGCGAAGACAGGGTGTGGCCGTGCATAGGACTGCTCAAAGAACTTTGTTCCGAGAGGTTTGGACTTAATGACGTCACAGATCCGTTTGGTAACGAAGTCATTGAGCTGTTTTGAATCGACGCCATATTGCTACTAGCTGAATAATGATTGGTTAGTTGACCGGACATACTTTCTGGTGGCGTCGGTAGGTGGCGTGATGGAGTTTCGTTGTGGCTGCTGCTTTGACTTGATGGTTCTGATTTTACTTCTGAAAAAGATGAATTTGATAATATAGAAAGCAACGTAGAATGGGAAAGCATCTAGGCTCAATCGCATAATATTTGGTAAAGGAAAAGATAATATGGTCATCTATGCTTCTTGCAGCTTATTTTTTTAAATAGTAATCAAAAGAACTTGGCTTACCAACTGAATCCGATTTGGATGAAGACTTGGTCTTTCCTTGACCTTTAGGTTTTCGTTTTCTGGTCTGTATTCCATCTTTTTTCATTGCCAATGGGCGATTTATCTGAAATTATAATACAAAGGATGAGATTAGAGCTTCAGAAAGAGATAGAATCGGGATCTTAAGTTCAGGAACTACACAAATACTTGTGGCTATTTTACACGAACAACACCAAAATGTTACTTTTACATAAGTCCAGATCTGTTCTGGATCACTAATATCCATTTATAGATTGACTGTCATTTAACGTAACTAGGGAAATGACGTAAAGACGACATCCAATCAGGTGAAGAGAAATAAATTTGAACTATTTATAGATCTTACCCCATGTAATTTATAATAAAGACCACAGGCATTACAGACTGGTTCACCTTCGTTGTTTCTTCTCCATAAGGTAGTAGTGCTAGTGTGACAGTTGGAACATGATAATCCAATCCTTCTTGAGGCAGACTGAAAAAACAGAAAAAGTTTTAGAATCCAAAATCTTACAGCTCAATTTTTATTGTTTAACAAATTTCGTTATTACAGATGTTTACAAACTTTGATGTTTAAGTCTTGACCAATAACATGATAGAACTCATTTATTAAAATAATGCCAATATCAAGCTGTAACTTACCAATCGTCGTTGAGGTTTCAAAATTGCTCCATTAACGCTATTCATTTTGTGATAGAGACCACAAGCATTGCAGAGATAATGTCCTGTACCGTCTCGTCTCCATAACGGTGTCGATAGAGCACCACAGTTGACACATTCTCGACCTTCCAGATCGGCGTAGTAGTCTTGACCATCTAGAAATAAAAAATGACATAAAATATATGCTCGTTTGTACATTGGGGCTAGGTTAAGAAACAAAACAGTTGTAATTAGAGAACTTTGTACATGTTTCTTTCTGAATTCATTCTAATTATCTATTAATTAAATTCATACAATGTATTCTATTATTATTTATTTTGAATCTATTTCTAATTTATTTAATGTTTTTGTTATTTAATTTATTTATTCGTTTTTTTATTTAATTTATTTAAGTCTATATATTTATTTAATTGATTTATTCACTTAATTTAATTTATTCTATTTATTTAATTTATTCTATTCATTTAATTTATTCAAATCATTTCATAACATTTATTCATTGATCGTTTGTTTTAAGTGTAACATTAAAAGTATAAAAAAAAACTTCTTTAATTTCGAATACAAATTGTGTTTAACTATTTCTATATGTATCTATGGTTTTCAAAAAAATATCTATTATAATGTTGGACTGTATTTCTTCTCGCTCGTAAAAAAGATGTGTCAAGATTGTAGAACTGTTAAATTCATCTTCATTACAGCGGTATTACATCAGATATCACAAGATAGATTTATATTTTTATACACTACAGCGTCGTTTTACAAATGTCAAAATGGCGACCTACGAACCGGAGGTTAACTTCAACATATTTCCTCAACTCACATTAACGTCAAATTTATTTTGATTAAAAAAGTAAGAAATATCTCATTAAGAAATTGACTACATGTTCGACCGTGTTAATTCGTACTTAGATACAAAACTCATGATGAAGTTCCAATTAGAACGAGATAAGGATCCATGTTCCTCGTTTTGACATTACCACGTTGGAAACGGCGCCAATACGTGACACGGAGGTTACTAAGGGTACATGAGGTCACGTGTTGTAACATGGCGGAGACTAATTACCGTTAATAAGCTGCGTGTAGCCGTGTCAATCCGCTGAAAGAGTAAGTACGAGTTAGTAAATTAGGTCTAATCAGATCTGGAGTGGGTTAAAGTCGAATGTCATACACCAACTAGTTAATTTTAACTTCGATACATGAAATAAAATGGTGAGAAATACTCGAATTAACTTTTACTGACATCTTTGTTTGTGGGCGCTGTGGGTTCTTTAAGTGCTTCAACGAATTCAAAATGGCGATAACAAGGGTATTTAGAGGTCGAAAAAATCTGTACTAAATTACACAAGAGAACCAACAACAAATCAGAGAAATCGTTTTCGAAAAAAGTGCCATGCAGAACCTTTTCATGTCTACTACAGTTTTTTTTTTTGCTATCTCCAAGCCTGTTACTTGCTCTAAGAGTAAAATATTTAATACAAGAAAGACCTACATGTGGAGTTATCTGCTTATGCCGTGTCATCAATTTCTGTGATGACATGTGCACAGATAACGATGACGTATTTAGTAAACAATGTATTAAAATCTTATCAGGAATATGAGCAGATTGTGTAAATTTACGTTGAGATAAAACTCGGTTGTAGCTACTGTCATATAATAAAGTTCAGGTTAAATATTGATACAGCCCTTTAACTACAAATTAACCATACTGAGAGCGTCAGGCTGCAGGAGAAGGGGGGGGGGGGGCATTAGACAGGGAACCACGGTAATTGTTGTGAATGATACAAACAAAGAATTAGTTTCTAAATGTATCACGAGTCTCAAGACAAATTACTTCAAATCTTAAGAATTAGGGATGGTATATGTAACGGAAACAGTCCATGTCCCAGGCCTTCCGGGGCATCCTAAGTCATTCTACTGTACATTCGTGTATTGCGTTTGTCAATCTACGGTTGTGTTTAGCTTGGCGAACCCAATAACATTCTATAATGCATTTTATGAACGTCCTATGTACACTTCAGAAATGACCTATGACAGTTTTATAACTTAGGCTGAAGGCAATAATATCCGTTATGTTATTGAATTCTTCCCAGTAATTTCTAATAAGTGTGATTAATAGCAGGGCAACCCCCAATTTCTGGTTGAAGAGGGTAAAAATGAGGGTTTAAGGGGGTTTAGTCTTCGGGTCAAGTAACTATAAAATTAGACTTATACTGGGTGAAAAATAGACTAGATATAACCAATATTACTAAGTTTGAAACCTTCATGTTCGTTACCAAGACATAAAAACGCAAATTGGAACAACGGCTCTGGCATAATTGCTCAGTGCATGGTTATGGCCAATGTTCATTTGCCCAAATTGGATCAGCAACGCAATACCCAAAAATGCATTCCAATTCCACACAATAACAACTACAGTGCTCGCTGACGAAGCAAGTAAATGCCCACTATTACTGAACACTGAATACTTCTCTGTACTGGGCAGGTAACCTTATATTCTGACCACCCCAACACTCGAGTCCATGACTAACCACGTTGCCAGGAAGCACAACAATGTTTCTCATGTAATTTTTATCTAAAGATTGGACTATATCAATAATGCCCCGTTAGGATTATAATGTCAAGCCCTAATTTGTGTACCCGAACCTCTGATATGCTTCTTGGGGGTCAGTTTTCAGATAAGGGATGGTGGGATTCTGAGTGTCAAGGGTTGTTGGTCGAATTGAGATACAGTTCAGTCGTCTAAAAACTTTCTTTACCAGCTGTAGATTAACATCTCAGATAACCACATCCACATTACAGAATTCATTCTCTGATGAATGTACATTGAGCTAAAGTTAAAAGACTACCAACTAGGACAATATTTGAGAGTCAAAATTGTCAAATCAAATGAAGGATCGGAGTTCAAACTTGTTCAATGATAAGAAACCATAATATGTCAATCAAAATCTAAAACTACTTCGCATGAAGTCCCTAACATCGTTTCCGGTCCGTACTTGATCATCAAGTGTTGTCGAAGCCAAGGAAAAATACCTGACAGAAATAGGTAGTAATAATTAAAACTCTTAAGTACTAACGATCCAAACCAACAAACGATCCCCAGCTCCAAATTAACAGCTAGACAAAATGATGGTTAATAACTGCACTTTTTTTCTGTTTTTTTTTTGCAGTTCAGGCACATTTGAGATAAAGTTACCTACAATGGAATACAACCACCAAAATAGCATGTACGCTCTGTTTTGGACCAAACACCCATAAAACCTCAAAGAATGTATAAAAACAGCCTTCTTCTTTCATAGACAGAATGACATTTAATGATTCGTTTCAGTAAAGATAAATCGTGTAAATTGATTCCAAATTTTATCAGGAACCGTCAAAATTGAAGCTGGCCATACGAACAGTTATCTTTTATTGCAAAACAAAAAAATAAATTCTGTTAATACAGGCACATTAAATAGAGGCACCATGCGGGTCTTAAAAACATAGTCACGTGCCTTTCTCAGTATGGTTACTTCAAATTTAGGAGTTTTTGTGATATTTTGAAACGAAATTTAATTCTTTTTCACGATTTTTTTCATATAAATGGGATTGTTGGCTTGATATTTTGTAAAAATAATATTTCTTTCGTATATTTGATCATAATCTTTGAAATTTATGTTTTACTTCAATAATGTTAAGCACGCAGTCAATTTAATGCATGCTGATAGACAAAAAACTCAGAAATTCCCAATTTCTTTGTCCAAATATTTTTTTAAGGATACCGACACTTAATGGAGTGTGGCTGATTTAAATTGCAACCATCCTTAACCACAAAACGTGACTCTGGTCTGTTTGAGAAAAACTTTCGTTACTGTATAATTTGTAGCAGAAAATAAACGAAACCACACACGTACAAAATACAAGACGTTGTTATGTTTCTCATAAAAATTAATTATACACATAAATCTGTAGTAAACTGACAAATTTTGAAAAACGGAAAGTAGGCTAAACAAAAAGCAGAATTTCAAATTGGTCAAAAACCTCTTCAATTATATACATCAATATTAATTTTTAATTGTCAAAAAATTTCTAAAAATAATACTGAATTAACTAATCAAAATATTCAAAGTAACTCGTGTTCCTTTGAAATGGTAGCCATTTTGAAAAATTTGACGTAATTTAAAATTAATGACGTCGTGTACGTTATGACGTAATAGTTATTGATATGACGTTAACGATCCCAGGAGTAATCTATTTTGTTTATTTGTGTTTCTTGTTTTAATTATTGAGTGTAATTGGGGCGGGGAATGTTTTATTTTGATATTTAATGAACAGATAAGTTTACACCAGAGTAATTTAATGTGGTCGTTTATCACTATTAAAACGAGGTGACTCCACTCACGTCCAAATGACACACAATTATCAGAAACAGACCTGTTCCAAATCGGCTTTTTTCTATTTTTCTATGACGAGGTTTTTGTCGGCTGTCCTAGAAATTGTTTCGAGTATAACTCTTATGCAGAGACGTTAACGTGAAAGAAAAATGTACACAGGTTGGAAAGACTCGGCTAGGGTCGTTAGAGTTTTGACCTCAATTCATCCACAATTTATTGCATGATATTCCCTCACTTTTGATAACAGAAATCCATACAATACTAAGTCGTACAAGTACATTTAAATTTATTAGCCTAATAAGGTGCAGAAAAAATCATGCAGTCATGAAATTCACTCAGTACGCGAACTTTGGCTTAGCCTCCCATTAATCATTTTTAAGTTTTTTTTTAAATTCATTAAATTTCACAAATTCTAATTTTCGAGGGGAATAACACAGACAGTTACATTAATAGACCATTTGTCATAAAAATATATTCTTCCATTCTGGGTTGAAAGTGTAGTTTTATACAATATTGACTACAAATTATTAGAATAGTTTTACCCATTATATTTTATTTGAGCACGTTTAAGTTGGAATTCTAACTTTCAATTTTATTATCCTACAAAATGATATAGCGCCGTTTCGGTGCTTTTTTTTCTGTACAGGTATAGAAATTCAAAATTGTTTTGAAAATAATAACACCGCCAAATTTTAGCGGTAAAATATTATCAAATTATGATTACGTCACAAGAGGGCAATATGTACAATAAAATAATAA